CGCGAACGAACGCGAACGAGAGCGAGCGAGCTTGCTTTAACGAGCGTATAAATATCGAGAGCGAACAGCTGAAATGTGTGTTCACGAATACATTGCGTTTTTCGTTAATGAAGGCAGGCACGTAATTCGTCATAAATATTTCAAATTTATTTGTATACGTGTGCTTCTTTACCTATTCCTCATAACCTCTATTTTACAGAAAATTTACGTTAAATTGTCATTTGTAAAAATTTCTTCGCGATTGTTCTCGCAGCGCGGTAATTACGCATAAATCATAAATCTAAATATTATTCGTTTTACTTATAAAATTTTCCATAAACGAGCCTATTGCCTCGCATTTCGTGCTCTTGTCTCGCAGATTTATTAGCAAGAAATAGAAAGTACGTTGTTCATTCGATCGAGGCGTTTTAAAATGGAATTATTGCTACGAAACTCTTTTCCGATCCAGCTAATACATTCGACAATACGTTACATAGCTGATACAATTTAATATTAATTTTTTGTAAAATAGAGATTATGAGAAATAAAGAAGCATGTCTTGCGAATTCATTAGCAAAAAAAAAAAAGAAGAAAGAATGACGTTAATTCGTGACCACAAAAAATAGCAAAATTATAAATCTACAAAACTGTTGGTTTATATACTAAAGTGTCGACCATTCATAAAACCAATGCATGAAAATATGTTGTATTAAATCATACAGTTTTTACGATTTTTATTTTATTATCAACTATAAAAGAGAGTACGTTTTATATTTCGAGGAATATATGAGAGGTGTTGTGAATGTTATAACATCATTTATTACCTTCATTCCGCGATTTATGGTTATTCTTTACGAGTAACAGCTAAAATTTTATTACCATGTGTATCAATTTGCAAAGTAATGATGACATCTTTACAGGCTCCATGAACGTTACAAAGTGTTATAGCTTTAACAATAAAATCATTAATCGCGCAAGTTTTTACCTGGAGCTATCGTCATAGTATTGGCAAAAATTTTAATGATATTAGTTTCTCATGATCGTCAATCTGATTCTCAATAAACGATAATGTACCGCGGCTTCTTCCTGAATAAATCTCGCGTGATAAAGAATGTACGTGTATCGTGATATCTTCACCCATTTGAAAGTTACGTGTTTTCCAACATCTTTTTGAATTCTATCGACAGAAATTAGAACGTTTTATGATCGATCGTGCCTTTTCTAAATAATAAGCAGGATATATGTTCCGAGTAACGTAAACAGGAAAGAGAACCTCTATTGTGTTATTTTTTTATTAGAGTGAAAATGAGTACGAGAATCCATCGTCTCAAGCAACCTTTTATTTTAATTCACTCTATTGTGATTTATGTATTTTTTACTGATCATTACATATTTATTAATTGTACATATTCTTGACGATTTATCATGCAGATTAATATCTATTAAATAATGGATCTAATAATGTACGATTATCGATTAAATATTTTTATTGTTGCGAAAGATTTATCGCACAGACGCGATAACTCTTTCGAGATCTGCATCGCCGATAATCGGTGCGAACAATTCCTCAGCCAGTTCTCGAGAACAACATCCGGTGAGAAGAGGTAAGACAAATAGAATTTTCGCCAATTTGTTCTCACGATCGTCTCGCTGTTGAAGATGTCGTATTAGAGCTTCCACGGCGTTATTTCTCGCTTGCGACATTACGTGGAAACCGTTGGTAGTATCGGCGATCTCTGCAATTTAGAACGATATTGCGCTATCATCGCACTTTTATCGTCGACAAATTTTATGCATGTATTATCGAAAAGTTATACGGCTCTTATGCATATATGTGCCGATATCTGTTTGACTTTTATTTACCGGGACGACACAGCGCAAACGTGTCTAAAATACATAATTCGACATCGTCCAATTGCAATTTTGCAATCGCAGTGCGCGTTGCGATTATGCAGGCTGAAGCACTGTCGTTACTCGTTGCACCTTGTCCTCGTACGTTCATTAAATCAATCGGCCACGTGGCTGCACGTAAAACGAAAAGAGCGGACCATCCACGACGAAGAATCTTGTTTTGCTCCTCCATATCTAGCATCGAAAAGTCTCGATGACGACGTGCACTCCGAATAGCAGCCAGGAATATTTGCGCGGATATTTCGTACTGTATGGCTGTGCCTTGCATGCAACATAAAATCCAATTTAATTATCGTAAACAATATATATCGCAATAACAGAATACAGCAGAATACAGCAGTGGTTAGATAGCTTCTGTCGAGAGTTGAGTAACTTAAATATTCCAAGGAAAGATAATTACCGGGCGATATGATCCTCGTTGGCTGCGCATGGCGCGACATGACAGGAACGAAAATATTTTCCCTGGTTTCAGACTCACGTAACGTCTTCATCATTAAAGTATTGTTCAATGTGGGATTCTTGAAAGGCAAATATATCTCGGAGCTATTAAAGCGTGCACAAAAAGTCGTTGATGAATCGACTCTAGGCTTCCAAGTGATGTTAGAATTATGAGGATTTGAGAGCTCATTATTTCGAGTACGCGGACCTCGTTCTTCTTGCACCGCTGTGAAAATATTTACTTTAAAAATTCAACAGTATCTTGTAAAAAAATATAAAAACTATTCCTTATTTGGATTTATACCAACAATTTTTACAATTGATTTTGAGACAAGTAAAATAAATATCTCCTACAGATAAGCAATTAAAGATTTGTTAAACGTGTTTTAAAATATAAATATGCTCTGCTTAGATTAGCTCGTACGAACATAATATTTTTTATAAAATTGAAAGATTTTGTGAAACTTATAATTTTTTTTATTTTATCACATGATCTTATTTTACACTTGCGCTTTTATTAATCGATATGAAGGTGTATATAACAATGGTGTAGTTGAACAATCCCACATAGTAGGATAGCTTTAGCTCTCCGATCACAGAGTAAGCTTTGTGTATTTAAGACGCTGACGACCGAAGTTGACACTCGATGTCGTTTTACGTGACACGTTATAGCAATGGCTACTACTAAATTATTTACAGGATTATCCATGAAAGATGGCTATCGCAGTTTGTGTGTTCGTTACTTATAACAGATTTAGTCTTTTTCAGTTTCTCCTAAAACTCTTAGATTTTTTATTAATGAAACATTATTTAACGCAATTAGTTTGTCAGAAATATCGAATTAAAATATATCTTGTGAAATAAAAGAATATAAGTTAACCATTAGATTAACATCGATTGTCCAGATTACAATTTCGCTGTCAATTAACTTTTCTGAATAGTGTTAAGGGTGAAGGCACGTGTCTAGCACACGCCATTGTTTGCATTTCGTTGAGTTCGTTAGCACCTTGCTATGTTTACTTGTCGGCGGTGATTTTATGTTCGGTATGAGATTTTATAAAAGATATATCGATTTAATTTAATTCTTATTATTCAGAAGAAGAATAAATATAATAGATTAGATTTATTTGATTACGAAAAAGTCACACGTATAGTAAATTTTTAGGGAACAAAAAGATGTTTAGATTGTAAACTTAATTATGCAAGCAATACAAATAATTAGTAATATGTCTCGATTTTTATACGCAAATGTAAAATACATCTTTAATTAGCATTGTTTTATGTCAATTCTAAAACAATGCTAAAATTTGATTTACTATTTAAGAGAGAAAGAGAGAGTATTAAGAAATTTTGTTTTAAAGTTATTAGACATTTTACCTACCCGCTGTATTCATCCCAACGGTGAAACATTTCTTTAGACGGCAATGTGGACACCAATTTCGTCTAGCTTTGTCAACGGTGCAGGATCCGTCACTATCTGAAGGATTATAAGGTCACATTATTGATATGATATTAGGACATAATATTTACGTAGCATCTCTTAGCAGTATTCTTTTAATACTAGAATGTCCTGTATATTTTACTACTTCTATTAAAAGTGTACAAACTTGTGCAAGTGAACAGAGCGCCGCGACGCACGGATCTCTTAAAGAAACACGAGCAACCATCGCAGCAATAAACACCGTAATGTTTTCCATATGATCGATCACCACATACTTTACAGGACACTGGTGTAGGCAGAGTTCTTCCTATTACGAGAAATGTTATCGCTTATCAGCTAAGAATTTTATATTGAGATTAACTTTAGAAGTTACAATGAACTTTACGAAGAGCAAGTTATTCGTATTTTTTAATCGGTTCCTATTACACGTAGTCGTACGGTCGAAATATATGGCGTTATTTTTATCTGCGGTTGAATAAGTGAAAACAGATATTTACCCATTTTTTATTTCACTGCAATAAGTTCAAGATCACGTAAATCAGGCACGTAATTGAAACGTTTTCGTAATTTGAATATGAATCGCACGATGTCCGTGCAATGATCAAAGTGATCGTGTCCGACCGGGCTCGCGAACGAAGACAAACTCTGTCCACGGCGTGGAAAGCACCCCTGTTTGAGGGAGGCTTAACTCGTTGGTGGTGGAAATGGACGGAGGTAAGTTGGATTTGTTCGATATGTCACTTCAAACGTCAAAACGCGAAAGAATAATATTTGCGATAGGCTGATCGAGCGTGACACCATTGTTCGATCGTGAAATTATTCCAGACTAAAGACAGTATTCTTTGGCACGATAAAAAGGAAAATAATAATTATAATATTTCAAATTTTGTAAGAAAAAAAAGCGCAGCGATATTCAATAATCTAAAACATTTTTTGTAGAGGTAAAATTGCAATCTCTTTATTAGAAAAGATTTTATTTTTTTTAAATTTACAATATTTTGATGCTTGGAGGATACATAAAAAATATGCTAAATAAAACTTGACAGTTTAATTTCTTATTTCCGTGTATATTATAACTGTCCTGAATTTTATTCAACAAAAAAATTTTAATTTCTTTTATTTATTGGCGATATAGATATTAGAAAGATATTATAGGTAGAAAAGCATCTGACTTTATAAATAGCATGTGCATCGTTGTTATATAAGGTACTTCATATCAACATCAATTGCATATTATACAATAATTTATTTGCCCATGTACAAAAGTTTAAAGGATAATTCTAAGTTATCCTATAACATCGCTATTATTGCGGGAATTTTAATGAACTAAAGAAATGCAATATGATTGATTTATCCCTCATTCAGCATTAAGTTTTCACCATATTATTTCGAATAGGATCTTTCTTTCTTTAACTCGAAGAAAGAAACGCAACTTCTCTGTCATCTTAATTGATGAGTAAAATTATTTATTGCGCATTGCAAAAGTAGAGTTACAGAGGAACTATACACAAAGATTCATTTTTGATTAACGTTAACTAAATATATTCTTCAAAAAACCGTGGCAACAGCCAACGGTTTGAGTCAATAAATTATAAGAATGGCTCATCAGACTTCTCCTATTTATCTTTTGAAGTGAATCATTATTATATTCGTGCAAGGTTTATGGCTAAATCTAATAATGTTATATTCGTGCCTCGAGAGATTAATTTCATCCACTAAAATAAAAAATTTGCACTTATTTTGCTTATTTGTTATAATTATAAATTTAATGCTTATTAATGCTTGCTGATAAAATAATCAAGTACGAAAAATAAAAAGTATACCTTTTTTGGCCATTTAAAAAAAACATTTCATGCAAAATGATTCAACACTTATTTCAAGCAATCATGGAGAGTAAATGTTCTAATCTAGTATATGGCAGTAAATAAAGCAATGAAATCGTCGAGGCCGAAAGAGTTTATCTATTCTTAATATTGCAATAGTTTCTGAAGATTATTTACAATTAAGTACTCTGGTTTCGCGTGCATTTGCTGTGTAACAAAAAAAATTGTAGGATAATCGGCATAAATATTAAAAATATTAATTCAACATTTAAATAACAAAAGTTCCGTTCTTTTTCTTTTAATTCTAATTAGTTGAAGTCGAACTGTTATTATCTGATTAGAAAACTAAAAAGTAGCGTGATAAGTGCGACGTTTTATTGTTTTTCAAATGCAGTAATTATATTTCTATTTGTTGCACACGAGCCTTGCCAATAATCCGTCATTTTTATTAAGTATCTTTGCGCTTTTGTCAAACCAGGAAGCACTTTCGCACTAATTATATTATAACTCAGCTATTTACATGTATCGGATATTCAAACGCAAGAAGTTAAATATAGAAATGTGCTGTGTCTCATTAGCATTTTATAGTTTTGTCCCATTTTCTCGCGATTCCAATTATTATCCCTGCTAGTAAAATGATTTTCAATACGCGTCGTCTTTCATAACTTTTATATAAATCCCTGTCATTGACTAGAGATCCAGTTCTCCTCACCTTATTAACGACACGTTTAAAATCAAAGTTTTTTAAGACACATCGATGAGATATTTCGTTTCTTCAAATCATTTTATTATACATTAAAGCGTTCGCGCATAGATTTCTGTGTGAGATAGTCACTTTCTCGAAAATTTATTTTTTCGAGAAATGGTATCCTTTTCTTGGATTCACAATATTTCAGCTTCTATCACGAAGAATGAAATTTTTTCTTTTAATTTTAAAACAATTTGCACGTCACTGACTAGTCCCATGTTGTAGAAGAATTCTTCTTTCACACACTTGTCAAAGAAGTTTTTTGACCGTTAATTTTGTTATTCTCTCTCTTGTTCTTTTTCCAAATAATCGGATTAAGTTTCAATCCACAATTTTCAATTCTAAATTGTTATTAGAAATTTTACGATCTTCTTTCATATAAGTTTCTCGGCGATTTCTTGAATACTGCGGAAAGGTTTTCTTCGTCTTTCAATACGTCTGAATTTATTTTCAAGACGATTCTAGCGAACGAACTTCAATTGCTAAACAATTACGAGGACGCGAGTAATTTCGCTGCTGCAGTAACATGATGTTGATGATGATAGGACGCCTCTTGAGTGCCATAATAGCTCTGTTGCTGATGTTCACTGGTGACAGCGAGTTGATGAGGATGTTGATAATATGATGAGTACGGCTGACCAACGATGCCGTCGCAGCTCCGCGGTTCCGTTTTCACAGCAGGTACACTTCCGGTGGCCAGGAGAGAAGTATGTCCGAGGTAAACGGGTCTATCGGTCGATGTCGACGAGCCCGATGACTTTGGCACCTCGATTTGATGCTGCTGCTGTTGTTGCTGCTGTTGTTGATTGTTCTTCAAATCTGTAGAGAAATAATCATGACATTAAGAATAAACCATTGTAAATATAATAAAATGAAGAAATCGGACAAGACTATACATAAATAAGTACAAGATATAAGAGAAAAATTATTTTTATTAATAGATATGTAATAACTGTAATTTAAACTTGAAGAGTAAATTTTTGATATTATGAATGATGAATTATGTAAAATCGAAATTATTACAGTTATCGCTTCTTATGTATTAAAACACAAGAAGCGATTTATTATCTATTTTAGAGTTTTATATTTTTATATTTTGTACATATCTGTCACGTAAGACAAAAGACAATTTTAACGTTTACGAACCTGTGGAAGGAGAGGATGTAGTCGAGGCAGTGGATTCATGGTCTCCCTGGGACGATCTAGCATTCTGCTCTGGGGTCTTTTTCGGTTTTCTCTTCCTTGTTTGTATACCATCCTTCCGCATGGCTAGCGGTCTATTGACCCCATGCAATTTGAAGTATAACCCACAAGCGTTGCACACTGGCTCGCCCTCGTTGTTGCGCCTCCACAAAGTGGTGGTGCGGGTGCCACAGTTTGTGCAGCACAGCCCGAGTCGCCTCGTCGCGGTCTGAAATTCCGACATCTGTCCCATTTGTAACGCATGTCAAAATGATTCAATTGTTATGCGAATGCAATTATCGTGATTAAATGATATATTCTTAGAAGAATGAAACAGATCTCTTTTAAGAGACGTTCATAAAAGATTAATAAATGTGAATTATAAATGTGAAACAACTTAATATATGAAAGTATTTGTAAATCCCGGTAGGTCACACAATGAAACATTTTCATATATTAGAAATTAGTGTTAAAAGTCAGTTCTTTCGCGGATACAATACATCATGTGACTTTTTCGCGACGTAGAAAGACGGCTCTTTGCAAAATAAATATACGTATAGATATATTGGTGAAATTTTATTATGATCATTTGTGGATGAACTTACCAGGCGTTTTGAGGGCTTAATGAGCGGCCTATTCATGCCGTTCATCTTATGATAAAGTCCGCAAGCATTGCAAAGATAATGGCCAGTGCCGTCTCTTCGCCAGAGCGGCGTCGATATCGCGCCGCAATTCACGCACTCGCGACCCTCGCCAAACTGGAAATCCATCGCGGTGTCTGTAATCATTTTCATATTCGATCGATTAATTTATTTTTGTTTTAACGCTTGTTGTGATTTATGCACCAGAGATAAAAACTGATTAGTTTTCTATATATATTCTACATTCTGAAACAACAATACAACAAGAACATCCTTCAATTAACGATGCACATCCTATGATTAAAGAAAATTTAAAAGCATTAAGTCACGGAAAATAAGAGATTTAAATCTCATTTTACTTCTGATGATGTTAACTCCACTGTAAACTTCTCCAAGTTTCTCTTCACGTGTCACATGACATTCTATTCGTTTCGCATGAAAATCCAAGATCGGCTTTATCCGAACGAACTGATAAGACCGTTCTTTACGTTTTATCTAGACGCCCGTAGCGGGATTTAAATTTAAAGTTAGACGGCAAAGCATGAGAATGCGCGACGACCGGCTGTTCCTGCACTGTTCAGAGGAAGCATCCGCCCGCGCTAGCTTTCTGAACCGATTCCCCGTCGGTACGCTGTAAAACACTTGACCGCGGGATCGACCCGGCTCACTTCAAAGGTACCGCTATCACTTATCCATCGCACATGGCCCGCCGTATGCACGGCGGCGAATAGCATCCGCGAAGGAAAGTAGCTTCTTTCTCTTCGACCTCAGCGCAGCGTTTTTCTTTCGGGCGGTGCTGTCACGAAGTCAGCGTTAATCACGAAGTCAAATGCTTCTTTTCACGCGCGTTAATATGATATTTTATTGTCGTGTATCGTTGAAAGGTTCATAGCTCACAACGAATGATATCTAGCTATAAAATTTTATAAAGAGTTAAATGAGATAATTTTGTCAAGCGGTTCCGATTCCTGGTGCATGATTCCTATGCAGCTAGAAAGTTTCGATTAGAAAGCCCTCGTCTCTCGATGCCGTCAATGATATGAAAATAAAAAATTGATCACCAGAAGGTTTTAAGTTGCACCACAAAAACACACACTCCGCTTGAGAATTTCATGGGTACGCCCTCGCGAACTCCGTTCGTGATATCGTCTGCGGTTTCGATAAACTAATCGGCACCATAGGAAATTGCATGCCTACATATCTTATCACCGCGGCATACGGGTAGTTCTCATAACTTTTGTTTATTTATCATTGCGACTTTACGCGTGATGCACGCCAACGAAAAGCGATATGAGCACCTCCGTTTTCACGCGCCATCGCAAGCAAATTTAAAGTATGGCAGGGAAAGCTATAATGAAATCCAGCTACATTAGTGATATTTTTATTTTTACGTTGCAGTCAATAAAGATAACGTAACGCCTATAATATAATATTACTTAATATAATCACACCGATATAAATTATTGATGTTTGTCGAATTAGTATTGTTTAATATTTAAGAAAATTCATTAACTTCGATGTTTAATATTGAATAATTTTTTCAAGATGACCGTTTCAGTAGCTTTCCTCATTCTCATTTCAGAAATATCTGATACTGATATTATTTAATTCTATCATATTTTATTTATTCGATGTGCAGAAGCTGTGTGATGCGTAAACTGTTATTACCATGATATCTGCTGAAACGTTAGCACAAGAATTTCTTATATCTCACATAAATACTTTTGCCGCACCGTGATTTTACTGTTTACGGGTTAAAATAGCAGGCTCACATGACAGATATGTGTAAAGAGCACATCTGTATTAAAAATCGTATTAAAAATGTACCACGAACCATAAGGCGATGCACGTTGAAAGCCGGTGCCGTCATAGGCACGCCACGAAGACATCATCGCGACGTTCTGCGCATAGAACGGTGCAGCCGCGGCTGCAGCGAGGGTTGAATGAGGATGCGCCGCGTGCGGATGTCCCGCATGCGGATGGCCAGGCCCAGCGTGCGGACCCATCGCTGCCGCGGTACCGCTCGTGTGTCCAGCGAGCGCGTGATGCGCCGCATACGTTTCCACTCCGTGTTGCCAGGACGCTGTCTTTTCCCTTCAAAGGATCAAGCATATTTCACGTTTAGTTCTCTCAAACACGTATGTGACGCACGTATGATCTTTCAAAGGTCGTTGTACCATGCGGGCGAAGGCGAAGTAGGGAAAGAGTGATATTGCGCTGCCGTAGCTGCGGATGGAATCGCCGGCCTGGACGACGGAACGTAGACGGGCGCCTGAAGCTGCTGCCCGTGTTGCTGCTGCTGCTGGGACTGCTGCTGGTAATCGGAACTTGCGCCGTACCCGCCACTTCCGCCCCCGTGGAACATCCTCCTCGAGAGCTACCACCGTGGCATCTGCCGAAAATGAAAATATCGAAAATTAACAATATATTATCTCCATTTGAAGCTTTCTAATTCGCGTAATTACACAGATTGCAGGTATATTGTATTCTCGGCGAGTTGTGTAATTTTGTTCAGTTTTAAGTATCGTAAGATTTTTAATAATCACAATTGATTGTGATTCGCGTATTTCAATAATATATAAATTATAATTACTCATCTTTATAATGAAGCAGCAATGATGCAAAACTTTCCTTAATTTTACATGAAAGTAATCCCTTTATTCGATGCCGACAATACGAAATACAAGTGCAAAAGCGCAAAGTATGGCGGCGAGTACTTTGCGTGCTAAAGGTTTGCCGCCGACAATCTCATTTTGCTACCACGGAAAGATATATCGTTACGTCGGTAATATGGAAGCGGCAATAATACATCCTGTAGCAGATAATGTTAATGATCCCTTTAAAGCCGATAACCGGCCGTGCATATTGAGATCCCGCCGAGCGTCATGTAAGACGACGAGTAAATGCGGCATAGGCCGCCCATGAGACCAAGGATGGTCGTGAATAAACCGCCGAATCCTGTCATGCATGATCGCCGTCGGGCCTCTTCATGTTGTGATTGTCGTCTTGTCTGTCTGTGCAAAGAAACTTTTGTGGTCGTAAATCGGGAAACTACAAGTTCTTCGATTTACATAACACATGATCGAGTAGCGCCTTTTAAATTTCGAGTAAAATTTATTACGACAGGCAATGAGGGAACGTTGACTGAAAAGGTATTCAGCTTTGTCTGCGACGCGGACGTGAAATAGATATTTTCTGGCCGTGTTTATATACATATATGTATATGACACGCGTATATTTCGCTAAACAAATAAATTGTAAATTTGGCAAGTATTCTCTCTACTCTGATCGATTTAGATAACGTTTTCAATCGCAGCATTTTTGAAATTTAATTGAATATATCTAGATTTCTTATCACCATAAGACGATACAAGTGTTAAATCGATTTTTTTTCTAATTTTTCATATTGCAATCGAGATAATTGAACGAATATACGATAAGCCCCTTACTTGCGACAATTGGCAATTATAGTTGAAAGGCAATTTTCACACGCGTGTTACGCGATTTTATTTAATTATGCAATATGAATTACACAATATTTCATGATATTTACTAATACCAGCGCTATTGCGCGCGTCAAAAACTTATCTCGCGGTATTGTTAGAAATGAAAATAGTATACTTGGCTCGATACATTGGCTCGGTATCTCTTGCACACCGTATCCATTTTGGTACGTGAATCCTGTGCCGCCCACGCGTCTCATTGTTAGGATACGCATCTCCTTAAGAATACGCGCAACCTCACCATATCTATGCAGCCCTTTTGAACGCGATGCATAGAACATGGCGCGTTTTGTACTGCAAAACTGAGAGAAAATGAATATCATCAGCTAAATGTAAGATATGTTTATGATCACGACAGCTTCTCATCCTGACAGAAACGAAATACTTAAAATTCCTCTCTTTCTCTAATTTATATATTTTTACATATCTATTCTTCAATATTTTTGTTAATTTATTATCATTCTTTCTTAATTGAAACGGCGAGTTATTAGTATTCCCAAAGAAAATAAATAATATTGGTAATATATATTAATAATAACTAATAAAAAAAAATATATATATATATATATATATGTGTCGATATATAATATTTGCAACGTTTGGTTGGACAAATGATAATCCGAATGAACAAAAGTATCGATAAAATTCAAGCATCCCTAAACGCGAAATAATTCAGGCAACAGGGTAATTGATATTAAATTCTCACACATCTTGCCGCCCACAACTATTGTCTCGGATATGTTTTTTCCAAGGAAGCGATTGTAATACCGCCATGGTTGGCATGTTCTATGATTCGGTTCTCCGCGACGGATGCAGGAATCAGTCTTCGAAAGGAGCGATGAGCAAATAACATAGGCATATATGAAAATGGAGGTGTACCGAAATTCATTTGCGCAAAAAAAAGAGAAAAGAAAGAAATTGAAAAGTAAGAAAAATTCTGATTTGTATAGAAAGAATTATAATTCGCATACCTTATCCAATTTATTATTACGATAAAACGCGAAATGCGCGACGACAATTTAATTATTAAAATGCAGACAATAAGAGAATATTCGATTATAGAATATTATTTGGCAGTTACTTTACAATACGTGGAATATTTCGTGGGTAGCAAATCACTGGCGATAACAAACACGATCTTGACGTTTATTTTTGCGACGGTCAGTTGAGTACGAGTGTTGTGCATGTTATGGTCAAATCTTGAAATGCGGCTTTCCTAGCATTGACTGGTCAATTCTGCGGAATGAATGGTCAATTCTGCGGAATAACCAAGCGTCTTGATTAAAGCAGTTTCTAGGGATAGGCTGGGAGTTAGATTATTTTTTTTATGCGGGAGAGGCCTATTTGTGTACACACATATGTTTATACACACATATCAGAAAATTACAAAATTTTGACCAAGACGCTTGGTCGGTCGGCAGAATTGGTTAGTTAATCCTAGAATTGACCGCATTTCGGGCTTTGATCATAACATTATAAATATAGAAAGATTACTATTTTTATGCGATTTATATTTGAATTTGTCGTCGATTAAATTGTAATTTCTCCTATAATTTTTAGTTTAAAAAGTGGAGCAATGCACAGTGTGAGTAATAATTCAGATTGAAATTTAAGTGGAGAGTCGTCATAATTCGATTATTAATTAATAATCAATTTGTGATACATTGAATAAAAAAATTTTACTAATTCTCTCGCGTGGGTACAATGATATGGTGGGACGGCTCAGTATTTGGAGAACTTTTCTCACACAATAGGAAAGCTGTTGTAAATTTTCAAGCACGTCCGATTGGAAGTGTTGTATAAAATGTCGCACAATTATTGTGTTTTAACAATCACATCTCGGGAATGCCGTACAAAATATCGCGCGATCATAATGAACCATGCATGTTTGTTGTGCAACAAATCTTATAAAAGTGGCTAAGGAGGCATCGAGCGACGATGGAGTAACTAAAATTTGATTATTTGATATGGACGTTTATTTGAATGATTTAAATAAAAATTAGAAATTAAAATAAATACGATTTATTAAATTTTACAAGAGGTTATTCGCCAAATCCGTTTAACGCACAAAGTTGAACACGTCGTGTCGCGTGTCGAGAGTAGGGAGCTCATGAAGGTATGACGCGAGGAGTCAGAGGAGAGAAAACGGAGAGAAAGAAACGCGCAGGTCTTAAAGAGGGGATTTCGCCGTGTGTACCGTGGCGGGGATCAAATGATAGTCTACACATCGGAGAAAGAGAGGTGTTGTTCAGCGAATAAAGGCATTGCGAGAGAAAGAGAGAGGCACGGAGACGCGCAGACGCGTCTCCACCTTCATCGCTCGGCTCCGACCGTTGAATCGGAGATACCGATAGCGGCCATCGCGGTCACAAATATACCCCGTGTAGGCGGGACCAAAGTTTTCGTCGCATGTGTGCAGTTGATGTGCATGTGTATTAAGCTCATACCGATGTGGTGCATAAGTAAGTGCATGCAACCGCGTTATGCGATCTGCCCTATAGCGAAGTAAATAGTGATCCATCGGATCAGACTATCATAGGTTTTAGTAGTGCTAGAAATAAAAATCCACTTCCAATTGAAATAAAAATAAGGTTTGTACAAAGAATTGTACAAACTTCACGAATTGTTCATGTTCAGACAAAAAATTAATTATGATACTATAACTTGTTTATTTTTATCTCATATATTAAAAGATTACACTCTCAGGAAATAAAAAGTTTAGGTTTTTTCTTAAAAGAAGGCTAGCTTTATTCGTAATTTTATTCAGATTAAATTAATGTTTAGAATTTAGATTGATTTCTCTAATGCGAGATTTAAGAGGAAGGAATATAGTACATCTTTTTCTTAGAAAAAAAAAATAGAAATAATTTCGAAAACAATTAAGATTATAATGAATCATGATGATGATTTCATGGCAAAATAAATTAGAACGGATATTATTGTTACATCATATTCGCGAGCTATTAAATAGATACTATTATCGATATTGAAAGAATTAGTCAGAGTATTCTGACGACGATAATTTAATTTAATTTCTAACATTAATTAAATATAACATGCTTAATTGCTATAGCTGTAATTTGTAGTATATTAATTTGTACTTATGATATGTAATCATATGTATGTATCAGTGTGCATAATTGTGTTAATAACGATAATAGCATTTGCTCAATACATCTTTATCATTTTGCAAAATCATAATTTTCTATAAAGTTTTTGGAAACCAAACTTTCGTAGCTTAATATGAATCAGAATTCTTACAATTTGAAATAGAACCAATCTTTTAATGTTTATTTTTGCAGCCTATTTTTTCTTAATTTATCAATTATTAGAATTTAGAAATTAATTGGTGTTTAGAAAATCATGATTTCGAGAATCATAATTCATAATTATTGGTCTGAGGGAAAGAGTCTCATTATTTTTTTTTCATAATTTTATTTAATAGGTTGTTAATGCCACAGATAATTCTTTTGATGAGTACAAATTTATCTTATCAACTTGTATTAATGACTGTCAAAAGCATAGATACATTAAAACGATGCATGACAGTTTATATGATAAATAATCCTTCATCAGCGCTCGAATGGATCCGACTGATAGCGTAATCCGCTATTCTAGCAATTTGAATTTTTTTTCTAACTACTGGATAATATTGACTTTTAATTGGTATTAATGACGTTACATTTCTTGACGAAGCGTAACAAGTGGCAACGCAGTTTATCTCAATTTGCGATAGAAAAACACGTATATCACACACGACTATAATGACTGTAATAAAATTAGCATAACTTATCGACATCAGAGTCATTTTGATATCACTTGATAACGTGCTGAGGAAAAAGCTTGCAATCTTATAAACGTGCCAAAATCAATTTATTCTCGTATTTCG